AGTTTTGCTGCACCATGCTTTTTGTCATGATATACTGACCTGTCCCAACCCACAAACAAGCAAGCCAATAAATCATGAACTAAAACCTCAAAAACGGAGCCAAAAACCCCCCCAAAAAATCCTGTTCTTCCTTTAATTATCTTAGGCACTTGTTAAAGTGATACAAAGCTGCCTAACAATAAATTATATAGTGCTTATATTTATACATAATATATACATATTATATATGTATCTAAAGAGAACAGTTGAAGTCAGTATTAATTTGACTTTCTGGTAAAAGCAAAAACTCACCCAGACAAAAATACTTTCAGCACAGATTAGAGCAGAGATTCACTTCTTTTAACTTTTTTCTTAAGAGAGACATTTTTCTTTATCTTAAGATTTTGCATTTCTGCACCCCTGCTCCAGGAATCTCAGCACATATGTAGTGAAAGCTCATCCATTTTTTTACTCTTCAGTTAAATATTTATGGATTGCCTACTATATGATCGGGGATATTCTAGGCAACTAGGTATTCAGTAGACAAGATAAAAGATCCTTGCTTTGTTGTAACATATAATAAAGTGGGGAGAGGGCAAAACTTAATTGAAATAATTTCAGTTGAGAAAGCAGAGCATGAGGGAAATAAAGGAACATGATATAGTAGCAGGATGCGTCTACTGAAACAGGGAAGACTATTGAGAACAGGTCATTGTAAAGATTCTGATACTTTATAGAGCAAATATTCTTGCCTATATAAAATCTGCAACAAGCGCTCCAGGGTAGCTGTACTCTGAGCAGTAGGCTCACAGATCTGTGCTCTTGTTTCCACAGTGTGGCTCCAGTGTCTTAGGCTCTCAGCTTCACCTTGCAAAAGGAGTGGAAAATGTACAGATTACATGGAGGATATCAGGAGCTGCACTTGGAAGTTGAGTGTAACACTTTTATCTGCATTCCATTAGTCAGAAATCAGTTATCTGCTTTCATCTAAATGCAAGTGGTCAGTAAGACTGAGCTAGAGATCAAAGAGTTCTGCTTGTTAGTAGAATTTACTAGTAGCAGCTATGGGAGATGCTCTAACAGAAGGAGAAAGCGGGGCTAGAAAAGGAGGCAATTATGTGTTGCTCCATAAGCATTGAGCTGAACCGTAAGAAGTTTGCAGAGATGAAAACATGCTTTGACAGACTTAGTTTAACCTTGCTCAATTTGTTTAATTTTGTGTGCTAGGATTGACACCAGGTGTGCTACATGGGATACAGCTTCCATTCAGCTACAGTATATCCTTCAGACTCTCTCAGTTTAGGAGGCCAAGAAACAAGTTAAATATTTTTTTAATCAAGATTTGATGAGGCCAGGGATTTAGCTCAGCAGCACAAGCACCTGCTTTGCAAGCATGAGGTTGTGAGTTTGGTACAAAAAAAAAAATAAAAAGATTTGATGGCAGCTCTGTTCTAAACTCATAAGCAGTTTAGAAAAAACTGAATTTCAGTTCTGACTCCACTGAATCAGAGAAAACGCATTTACTCGTTTCATCTTTATAAGTAATTTATAAGCCTCATTAATTCCTATCTGCCTAATCTTTGTAGTTAGACTAAATGAGATAGCATATTTTAAAACTATAAAGGTTTTGATCAACTCAATTATGTAAATATCAAACCAGAATTATAATTTAAGAACTCAAGTGTTGCCTTTTACCTCAACTATAATCTCTAAGTGATTTGTTTTTTATCAAGCCAAAGGCTGCTGGAGCCTGTATACATTTGGATGGGCATGAAGCCTTGGGATTTTTGGAAATCATGGCTCAGAACACTTCTCTAGTAATGCAGCTTCTGAGAGAGAGAGAGAGAGAGAGAGAGAGAGAGAGAGAGAGGGAGAGAAAGAGAGAGACAGAGAGACAGAGAGACAGAGAGAGAGACACACACAGAGAGAGAGAGACAGAGACAGAGACAGAGAGACAGAGAGACAGAGAGAGACAGAGAGAGAGACAGAGAGAGACAGAGAGAGAAAAGGGGATGGAGAGGGAGTGGGCTGTAAAGTAACTTGGAAGATGCTTCACAGATATGCTTCGCATATCTGAAATTTTTAATGGAGCAAATAGATTCAGCACTACCATGAGAATTTGAGACTTTCTGACCCTTAAGAGATCCAAAAAAAAAAAAAAATTGTAGTCATCCCTAAGCTGAAGTCCTGTAAAGATACCAGGAAGACTTCCTTCCTTGCTGTAGCAGATTGTTGGTAAGAGGTAAGATAGAACAAATACAAATAGGTACAAAGGAGAGAAGGAAAATTATAACTAAAAATTGTACTTTTATGAACATTGCAACTTCTGGGACACAGATGAAGTTGTCCAAGGCTGTCCATCTTGTTATTCCCTTGGTTAATTTAGACCTGCTTTCTTCTAGACTCATCATGCCACATTCCTTAATGACACAGTAAGTCCATAAATCTACATTGTTAAGAAAATAAAGAGCAGAAACTTGATCTAAAGATAAAAGAGGAGACTGAGAGAATTCAAAAAATGCTTAAATTATCCATTAAAAAAAGAACAACAGCACCCATACCTATAAAAGGGCCAGTGCCCTTTTGGAGGAGAGGGTGGGCCACCTTTTCTGTTGGTTTCCACTCTCTCAAGAGAAACACAAATGTTGCCAGTTCCAAGAAATAATGTACCTCGTTTCTCTGAATACCTATACACCCCTGGTAAGTGTGTACTTCTGCCCTATAAATCTTTTCTGTGCTTCTTATTGAGAAGTCCTGAAAAATCAGTTTCTCCAACATGGTCAGTGAACCTGCAGATACCTTTTGCAGGTAGGGCAGTTTGGGTTCCTACTCTCTGCTTTGAGAATTCTCTCGGATTCTGGTAACAGTAACATGCTTCCTCCTATATCATTGGTCCATGGGGGTCAGCCCACTTGCTGACCCTAGTTTCACTGCCATTATTTTAGGTGCCCTAAAAAAATAGACTTGAGCTCCAAGTGGGACAACTAAGAAAAACACAGTAACTATCAAAGTGTCCCCCAGTCAGTGACTGGACTTTCAGTCACAACAGAGTGACAGGAAATAAAAGAACTGAGGGCTTACCCTCACTAATCTATATACAATACTGACCAGACTGGTAACTGGCAGCATCTGTATTTCTTTGCCCAATGGCTTGGCTTTTACTGGTTTTAAGAGCCCTCCTTGCTGCCCATGGGGCAGGTGGGGGTGTGGTCCCTAAGAACAGCCCTTGACCAGTGACTGATGATCAGAGTTTGTATATAAACCCCCATCATTCCTACTCCTTGAGTGGAATTACTCTTAGGCAGGTGTCTTACATTGGGCTTGTGAGTACTTTAGATGGATTAAACTCCAGTTATCCACAATGCTAACTTTCTTGATAGTAAGCTCTGTAGTGGCTTTCTTATCCTTGATTTGCTCCTGTGCTCTGCTGCCAGTGTTTCCTTGGATTATCTCCTTTAAAGACTACTTGAACTCAAGTCCTTTCTGGATTATCTCCTTTAAAGACTACTTGAACTCCTTTCTCAGGGCTGGCTTCTTAGGCAAACTAAACTAAGACATGTATTGTCTCATAAGAGGGCTGAATAAAGTAAATATTTCAATGTATGCTGTTCTACTTGATTCTCAAAATACAGTACTTCCAACAGAGCCTGGAAACATTTTCTCTTTAGTGAATTTGACCAGCCAGAAAGTATGATTTACATATACCTAAACCATGTTTCCAAGCAATAACACAACCACAACATCCTATAGGGAAACTCTCAGAAAACAAGTCCTATCCATGTGCTGGGAATTTCCAAACAACTTTTGTAGCACTTGACTCCAGGTTTTTAAGGCCTTCCTCTTAAGTACCAAGGAATACTGAAGTACCATGCAAAATGAACGATTGACAGAGACCAACTTAGTAGCAAATAGCAGTTGAGAGGAATAGAAATCAGCAGGAGAAAACTTCAAAAAGGACTTTTTTGTGGGGGGGGGGTACTGAAATTTGAACTCAGGACTTCAGGCTTGCAGAGCCGGCACTGTGTCACAGAGCTGTATCCCCGCCCAACAGGTATTATTAATACTCTCTGAAAGATAGAAATATTTCATATTTGAAGGAGGAATATATCATCATGAGAAAGCATCAGTTGAACAAAGAATTACAGAAAAGTAAAAATTCTATAAATGCTCGGGAGATAAATTTGATTCCTCTAAGACAAAGTTGAAAAACTGGAGCATAAAATGGATGGTGATAAGCTTCATATCATGCTAAGAATAGAAGGCATATCAAAATCAGAAGGCATATCAAAATCTGATGAGGGGAATGACTGAAAACTGACAAGATAGTGACCTGCTCTACATCAATTTAAGGCAGTTGCACAGGCCAAGAACGATTGTGGCCTAATCCTCCATCCTCTTTGTGGGCTTTAATGCGGTAGGGTGGGCCCCTTGATGGTCCCTAGCTCCCAGCACCAATCTATTCTGCTTCTCGGTTGTGCCAGAAAACTCTAAACACAACGTTGTTTTCTTCATAGTTGGGAGTAAAGTACCGGGGAGAGATTGAGGTGAATCGCATCAGAAAGTGTGCTTTCTTCAGGCTTTGTAGTAAAGGGATATCTCTAAGCCTGGAGGCAGTGGGGCCTGTGTTAACCGTGTATGCAAGGTATCTGGTGACAAGAATCATAAATGCATGCTCGTGCTTAACAAATACACCGCTCATGGTCTGCCCCACAAAGCTAGTAACAGCTCAGTCAAGAATGGATGTTCAGACCACGCCAAAGTCCCGGATGTTGGTCTCTGGTCCTTAGGGAAGATCTGGGAGCGCTAAACTTCCCAGTCTTGCAAAGCAGATATGACACGCATGCGCCTACGCATCTCAAGGGTTCAGTCAAAGGCGGCGGGAAGTTACTTTTCAGAGCAGGAACTGAGCAGCTTGAAAACTGATTCGAGACCACGGACCAATAAACAAACGTCTCATTGGCTTAATTTGCGCAGGCTCACAACGTTCCGGATTCCTATTGGGCCTTTCAAGTAGAGCGGGGGCGTGTCTCCCGGGGTTCCGCCCCGCGCCTCGACCCATCCTCCGGGTCCAGGGCTGAGGCAGCGGGACGGAAGTGAGCGGGTCCCGCCCCTTCCCGCCCTCGGTTTAGTCAGAGCGGTCGCCGCAGCCGCTGCCTGCTTCTGTCCGGCGAGCCGGAGTCTCCGTGCTGTACGTCGGTCCCCGGCCGCGCGGAGCCGGGATGCACTGCTCCTGCTGTGGGTCCTCATCATGGAGACCAAACGGGTGGAGATTCCCGGCGGCGTGCTGGACGATCTCTGCAGGTACGGCGCTGCCCGGCCTCCTCCCGCCTCCCCAGTTCCTCCGCGTCTCGGGCTCCAGAGGTCTCTGTGTCTTCTTCCCGCCCGGGTCTGGGTTCTCGCTGCCGCCTCACTTAGCTTCTCCCGCTAACCCCTTTCCCCGCCGCCGCCGCCCCTGGGCTTCCCGGGCCCGGCCGCCTCCCTCTCGGAGCGCGCGGCGTTTCCGCCTAGCCCCGTGCCGGGGCTGCGCTGCAACCGCACATGACGCCGCTTCGCGGGGCCTGCATCCCTTAGCTCCTCCGCCCCGGTGTCCACATTTGTTTCCTGCCTTTGCCTTCACACCCCTTTCCTCTTTCTTGCTCCTCGAGTGTATGGAGAGCGTAGTGTATGAACTGAAATATTAGAATCCCGGGGGATGTAAGTTTTCACACGGAACCCTTGTAGTTTTACTTCCGTGCGTGGCATATTAAGAATTAATAGTTCTCTTCATCCCAGGATTTTGTGTGCGGGACTATCTAGAGCTCCCTTCTGCCCCGCCTTAATTATCCTACGTGACGAGAAATTTATCTTCCCAGATGGCCAAACGCGTGTAAAATGTATTTAACAGATTTTGTCGAAATAAAATTGTTGCACTGTTACCAAGTTTCGTAATGTGGATTACGAAATAATTTAGGTTAAGAGTAGAAACTATGATAAAATACCTTTCACTTATAGTTACTGTGTTTATGTTAAAAGTGAGACAGTAATGTCGCATTCCGCTTTTTTTATTGTTAAGGAAAGAGCTAATATTGTAGTTTGTGCTGGATAATTTTCCATTTTCATCTGAACAATCAGATTTTGAGACTTTGTAACTTGTGCAAGGTCATATCCATTCCATTCACAAAATTGAAATTTGCAGCCTACACCCCCTCCAACTAGTTGCTTATGCTTTCTCTAGGTGAATATAATAAAGCCGAACATTTTAAGCCCCATAAAAGAAAAGTACATATAAATATATTAATTTGCAGCTAATAATAAATGTCGTACTTTGGGGATGGAAGATTTACATTTTTGAACCGTGATAGTCAGATAAACGCTTAAAAGGCACTTATTTTCTATGATCCCAAATATGGTAGAAAAAGGCAAACATTTGATATATGAATGTCTAGATAAATGCCTAAGAGAATAAGAATTAAAAGTAGGATTATATGGTTGTCATCTTAATGTTTACAAAAAAATTTTTTTGTGCATTTTGTAGTTAGAAAAAATTAAAGATGAGTATTTAAAAAGTGAGTACTGCAGTAATTATGGGTACAGGGTGTTAAAATTGATTTTGAAAAAGCTCAGATGAGCTTCTACTTTTTCTTTTCTTTCTTTCTGATACTGGGAATCGAACTACAGACCTTGTGCTTATGCAATTTTTATAGACATCTAAACTATCCTTCCTAGGATCACATGATTTAAAGAAATGACATCAGCCATTATTCTAGATGTTGAACCCATTCACATAATAATTGTGTTTTTTTATGCTTTGTTTTTAAACATGTTAAACATCTGTGAAATGTTAAAGATACTTAGTTTTCTAATAGATGTGTTTAAATTATTTTCTTAGACTAATCTTTTGGACTAGTTTTAATTTTTTCCTTTAAGTTCTTTTAAAATTATCTTACAATTGCAATATTTGGTTGTATAGATAAAAATGAGATATATTAAAAAATTAGGGCTAGCTGTTTGAATAACTGGTAATGAAACCATGTTCTTAACACTTTAGTTTTTAAAAGTATTGCTGTTCACAGTAGTTATTCCTTTGTTGATTAATTCAAACTTTCTTATGTTAATAATTTAAGCTTTCCATTGTGGGTTTAAATTTTTCTCACACTTAGAATTTAACTCCTCTAAAGATAAATTTTAAGTTGAAAGGTTAAATTTCTGGACTTCTTTGAATTTAAGGTGCCTCTTGATGATACGTTTGTCTAGACTCTTGTTTTTACTTTTCATTTTCTCCCCAATTGTATTATTTTGTTATTATAGTAGTATTTTTAAGAGCTTTTTGTTTTGAATTACTTTGGATAAATGACATCCTACTGCTAATCATGCCAACTTCCATCATTGTTGTATATTAATAAGTTTTGGAGAAGTGTAAAACTTCCAGCTAATTTTGCTAAAAAAAATTAGAGAATGCTTAAAATTTCAAATTATGACTAACCATTAGGCTGCTTTTATTTATGATGTGGAGTATTATTGTCAGTTTTCTTAATATACAGTGTTTTATTTACTGGAATATTATCCAGTCATTACCGATTTCTAAGGCCATTACCAAACATTAAATTGAAAGAAAATATTTTTGTGTTGAGACATGCATGCCTCTTGCCTTTGGTTAAAACAAAATTTTGAGTGAAACAGCATGAAAGAATTTAAACCTATATAACACTGGTTGATTAGAGAGGAGTGGAATTAAAGGAGAGAAGGGGAAGACTTAACATTTCCTACTAGACAAAAATTAGTTATATAAATCGTTGCATAAAATGTATGTAGAAGTAATGTAAACCTGGCCTATCAAGACACATGTTTGTACTTCCAACTCAGGGAGGCTGAGGCAGGAGGATGGGTGAAAACAGCAGTTTGAGACCAGCCTGGTCAGGATAGTGAGATCTTGTCCCAGAAGAAGAAAAAAAATGTGTCTTTAAAAATGCTAAAGTAAATCTGCAGCATGTTATAGTGAGTTAGGGTACACTGGTTTTTTTACATTAAAGAGAAGTATTTTAATGGCTCCCAAAAAGTCACGTACAAAGATTTTTAAATACTGCGTGAAGCAGTATTGAAGTTTGATAAGTTAAGTATTTAAATTGCTTATTAAAGATCTGAAAGCATGTTTTTAAAGTAAAAATGAAAACTGGGATTTGATAAGTTATCTTTCAAAAAAATGCTTGGAATTTGGTCAGGCCACTCTACTGTTAAAAAGGTGAAGAAAGATATTTTATGGCAACAGTTGCCACTGTTTTGGAGCAAGCTCCTGTTCATTAAATAATTTGTGCTGATCTCAGCCATAGTACTGTTGAATTATACTGAAAAGTTTATTTTTTTATTTTATTAGTGCTTGGCAGTCTTTGCTAATCTGTCTGTAGGAACATTAAAAAATGTTTTGTGAGAAAGTTATTTTATAGCTGATATTGTAGCTATTACTATATCCATATATATATATATATATATATATATATATATAAACTTACACTTTAAAAACAAACAGAAAACCAGTCTGGCTGTGCATTTTGGGCTGGTCTTGAACTCTCAAGGTAGTCCTCTTGCCTCAGGGATGTACTACCATGCTTGCCACAAACTCATACTTTAAAATCTTTGTGTCAGAAATATTCACAAAGTGAAAGCATTAAACAGGTAAATTTCATGTTATCAAAATTGCCCTTTTTTTAATAAACTTTTCTCAAGTTTTTAACAAAAGATGTAATTTTGTATACGACTTAAAAATCAGCACCAATGGATTTATTTTATTTGATTTTTTGTCTTTTTGAGACAGGATGTTGCTATGCAGTTTTAGCTGACCTTAAACTCACTCTGTTAGCCCTTGCTGGTCTCAAACTAGCAATAGTCCTTCTGCCTCAGTCTCCCGAGTGTTGGGATTCAGGCATGTGCTACTATGACCGGCTTTTTTTTTTTTTTTTTTTTTGGTACCAGGCCTTGAATTTAGGACCTTGCGCTTGCCAGGCTCGCACTGTGCCACTGAGCTATATTCTCGGCCCCAATGTTTTACTATTTGTTGATTTTAAGAGTTGAAGAATAATAAAAGCATTTGTTCTGTACTATAAGCCGGTAGATATTGTTCACAATAGAGGCAGCTCTACTGGCCAGGATTTTGTTTTCTATACAGCCTCAGTAATAAGTGTGGAAGGAAAATGTCCAAATGAATTCTTTCTTACATTCTATCAATTAGACAAAATGTTATCTTTTAGTTTTTTTCTTAAGGGAAAGAAGTATGCTTTCCTCACTATTTTCTGAATTCCTTTTTCTTCTTCTTCTCTTCTTTTTCTTCTTTCTTCTTCTTGTCACTGTTCTAAATCTGGCTTTGTGTTTGTACTCTGATTCTCCTCTACCTTGCTCCTCACCTCCTGTATATAGTTTCTAGCCTCTCCCCCTCTGTCCCCATTCTCCCCCGTTATATTCTTGTTGAATGCTAAATCATACTTTTTATTCTACAGAACTCTGTTTTTCTGTAGACTGCCCTCCTATGGACCTCCACTTTCCTGGTCCATTCTTGATCTGATGCTCCCTAGATTGGCTAAAAAACAGGTGTGCTAGAATTCATTTTCATGACTCTAGTTTGTATTCTTCCTTGGTTTTATTGATGTTTTGCTGGTTCACATTTTAATTTCTTTTGAGGGGGTCATTGGGAATAAACTGCCTCAGTTCTTATGTGCCTGTTTCTCCTACACTTATGTGACCAGATGGTTCAAGTCCCACACTTTGAGTAGCCAGGTTGTGGGAAGGATCTTCACTGCTATAGTGCTTCTGTGGAGCTTATTTTGGTAATGATAGAATTCACTTCTAAGGAATCTTATTCGGTGATGGTGATGGTGTATTTTAAAAAGAAAAAAAATGTTACTGCTCTGAAAAAGCTTTGTACATCTCTGAGGAAAAAGTCCTGCCGTGTGATCCTCAGCCCACACTCCCTCACGTTGGAGTTGGTCCCCAGGGCCTTGCACATGCTAGGAAAGTGCCCTACCCGCTGAACTACATTCTCAGCCCTGTCTAAGAGTTTTTATTTTGACACAAGGTCTTGCTAAGTTGCCCGTGCTAGCCTGGAACCGGGAAACCTGCCTCCTGGTTAGCTGGGATTACAGCCATGTACCACTTAGATCTATTCCTTTTTTCTAGACCCTGTGTTTGTTTGCTTACTTGTTTTTTTCCTTCCTTCCTTCCTTGACACTTTTTTTTTAGCTTGTTTAATTTTTTCTTTGTCATGTTTTAGATTTTCCTTAGCTGTTGAGGGATCTGTGGTTGCCTTTTCATCCTGCAGATGTGACAGTAGAGGG